CCTCTTTTCTTCCCCACTTTCCCTTTTTTTTTTTCTTCCTTCTTTCTATATTATAAGAGTATAATTGTTGATTAGACTTCCCGCATGGATATATTTATCTTGTATGGATCTGGCTTCTTCCGCCACCAGAAAGGGGGTTTTTCCCCCCTCTCGCTATCCATTCACTTGACAAACCATGTGGATGTTGATGTTATTTTAATTGCTTACTACAGATTGTTGTATGTTATTTTTATGTTTGTTAAAAGAATAAAAATGTAACCATCAATGTTCTATTGCAGAAATAGCAGCAGGCACCTGTGCTGGCCTCTATCTCTGTGACAGCGCTGTGTCTAACAGTGGCCCTGTAATAGACAGTGATTGGAAGCAAGTCAGCACGGTTCCTTATCGCATACTTGCTTACAAACAAGCAAGTGCCGGCCAGCTAAAATGTCAGTGTACATTTGTCTAGGTTGGTATATTAGTCATAAACATATACAGGCAGTCCCGGAGTTACAAACATCTGATTTGCATACGACCCCTACTTACAAACGGAGGCTATTACTGTACAGCAGGGGTCCAGACTGCAGCCAATGCAACAGTACCGCGCAGCATTTCAGTAGTTGAAATAATACCATGCTTGTGCCGACAAGGAGTGCCCGTCTTTTTGGGTCTGGTTTGTAGTACTGAATATACATTACAGGAAGTGGGCTCTTGTTAGACGTGCAGACAAGGGTTGCCCGACTCTTCGTCCGGGTCACTGTGAGGTTTTTACTGCCGTCTGTATCCTCATTAGAAAGATTTGATCTCACTTCCTGTCCTTGAGACAACAGGAAGTCAGAGGAAATCTACCCCTAGGGAAATTCACTCCTGTAAGAGTTATCATGGGAAATAGGTGTCTCCACTGAAGCTGTATCCTTGTTTCCACAACAACCCGAAATGTTCAAAACAGAAACAGAAAGTGAGGTGAAATCTGCTGAATAGGGGCACACACAGCAAAACAAACGGTACAGGGGGTTAACCCTTCCCTATGCTATCCAAAACTAAAAAACATTTTTTGGCTGGAGTTACACTTAAGAAATGTACCTGTTCAAACTTACATACAAATTCAACTTAAGAACAAACCTACAGTCCCTATCTTGTTCGTAACCTGGGGACTGCCTGTAGTCAAGTTAACTGCTAAATTTGGCCTGGGCTTCTATGGATTGATGATCGACGGTTAAGAAAAAGTTAACTGCATACAGTTGTCAAGTATAATATTTTTAGCAGTAGTGGGCCTCTAATTACAGTTTTATATTGCATTGGGGGCAATAGCTGATATACATGATTATCCCTTGGAATGGTAGCAAGAAGACATTTGTAAGAACTAATTGGGAATTAGCTAAAAAGCTAAAACCTGAGCAATTAAATGACCTTTTGGTTTTGTTTATTAGTGTTTGCTGAGACCATATACAGTGTTCTGTTGCAAGCATTAGGTGCATAATGTCTGTTAGCTTGGTGCACAGGCTGATAGCATTGATTTTTTTTTTCCTGTAGTTTCATTATCAGTTCTTGATGTTGCTTTCACATTGCAACCTGCTAGTTGCCAGCCATTTCTGCTAAAAGCTCTATGTGTGTGTGGCCAGCATTATCCAAATTAAATGTTTCCTTTGTTTTGGTGCAAACTGTTAATAACCAGAATGCCCTGGAGACATGGTGTTGGGTAGATCAATGAATATCTTTGTTGCGTTGCATGCAGCGTTAATAAACAATAAAAAGCAATTGCTGTCTATCTTATGATGATTTATTACATGTTTCAGCTGAATAGCTTCTACATCTAGTAATGTCTACTAGTTTTTGGCAATTTTGGCCCCAGTTTTACATTCCTCATCTAGAACGTTAAGGTGTCCATACATGAAGCAAATTAGATCGGATAGAGTTTCTCCTCAGCTTTGGGCATGTCCCATGAATGGAGATGAGAACCGTGAGTGGACTGGGCAGGTTCAGAGGACAGTGAACATCCGTGTAGCCTTTAAATGAACATCTAAAATGATACCTGAAAAGATAACTAGGAAGC